GATGTTGAATGAAAGAGAACCACAGGTTGTCAAAACCACTTGGCTTATTTTGCAGTGTTGCGTTGAGCAACTGACTTGATGCCAACTGCAGATTCCCCTTGGAGACTTTTAACTATGCTAGAAATTTCATTCTAGGGTAAGCAGGAAGTGTAGCCAGCTATTTTAACATTAGCCCTCCTCCAAAAATTACTCAGGAAGTAGAGTGCAATAGTAGGCATTTGGTAGTGTATGTATTAAAAATGCTCTAAGCTCCATTTTGCAAGTCAGCTGTGGCCCTATAATCATTAAGGCTGGAAAAGACCCTTAAGTCAGAGTCCAACCTTTCACCACTACCACACCAACTAGGCCATGGCAGTAAGTCCACATCCAGTTTTACCCTGAACACCTCCAGGGATGGTGACTCCACCACCTCCTTGGGCAGCCTGACCACCCTTTCAGTGAAGAAATTCTTCCTGATGTCCAACTTAACCTCAAGATGTACCAGGGGAGGTTTATGTCCTCTCATCCTGTCACTAGAGGGAGGAGACTGACCCCCACCTGGCTACAACCTCCTTTCAGGAAGTTGTAGAAAGTGATGAGGTCTCCCCTGAGCCTCCTTTTCTCCAGGCTAAACAACCCCAGCTCCCTCAGATGCTCCTCATAGGACTTGTGCTCTGGACTGCTCACCAGCTCTGCCCTTCTCTGGAGTTGCTCCAGCACCTCAGTGTCCTTCTTGAAGTGAGGGATCCAGAACTGGATACAGTTTAGCCATGCTAGGTGCTAAGTACAGAGGGACAATCTCTTCCCTGGTCCTGCTGGCCACACTGTTTTTGATGACAAGTATGATATCATCTGTCTTGACTCAGCAGGACTGAAAAGATGGCTGGTGGGAGGTTTAACACTCACAAGGGAAAGTGCTGGAATTCCTGAATTCCTGGAGGATTGATTTCTTTAAACAGGCTTGTATGGAAAGCTGTTGAATTTGCCTGCCGTACTGCTTTGTGTTTTGAACACTTGTTGTCCACTTCCAGTATACTTTGTGGTAACACAAACGCACCAAAACACCTTTAATGCTGTCATGTTCCACACTTAATCCACAGTGAAAGATCAAAGTGTGAATTCAGCTATCATTATCCATTGTGTAATTTCCAAGGGTATATTGAGAGGCCCTCATTCCTTGATTCAGCTCTGGTTTAAACAAGTGTTATTGTGTTTCCTTGTGTTTCCTAGGAGCCAACATCTTCCTTACCTCATCTGGACTGATTAAACTAGGAGACTTTGGCTGCTCAGTGAAGCTGAAGAACAATACCCAGACAATGCCCGGAGAAGTGAACAGTACCTTGGGGACTGCAGGTAAGCAAGCCTGTGCTGTGCAGGTACTTGTCTACTTACCATAAAAGAAGATATGTCTGCCAAGAGTCTGGGCTGGAGTAAAAACCACGTGCTTCAAGGAAACTTGATTTTATCTTAGCTAGTTGTACTTTATATCCAGAAGCCAAACAAACAGTGTTATCTGTCCTGTCATCCATTCACTGAATTTATCTGGTAATCATGAAGATTCTGGAGCTCTTGTTTTTTGGGGTTTTATCTTTCTCTGCAGTCTTACTGATACTGTACTTTCTGAAGAGCTGCTTAATCTATTTTCAAAAAATGGCAATAACTGGAAGCAGGTAATGAAGCAGCATTTTCACTGTCACTTTCAAACTGAAAGGCACTTATGCTGCAAACATGTCAAAGAACAAGAAGCTAGCAAATGGCAAAACTCGGCAAGAAGAGCTGAGTAGTAATTCATTACAGATCTATTAAAAAGCATTTGGTTTACCCAGTTAGTCACTTATATATGCTGTTCCTTCTGCTGTATCAACTGATGGCATCATATATGTTGTTTCAAAGCGTACATGGCTCCAGAAGTGATTACTAGAGCTAAAGGAGAGGGACATGGACGTGCAGCAGACATCTGGAGCCTGGGCTGTGTTGTTATAGAGATGGTCACTGGCAAGGTAGGGATGTTTCATGTGCTGATGAAATGCAAACTGTTCTTAGTAGTTTCTTTGCAAATTCTGGTCGCACTCTCAGCAGTTTGTCACATGTACTGTGAGTCTGCAAGTACTGGGGTGGTTTTTCATTTCCTGGAGTACAGAAATACATGCTCTGGTGGATAACAACTTAATCACTAAAGCTTGCACTTAGCAATGCTGTTACCTGTTGCAGAGGCCTTGGCATGAATATGAGCACAACTTCCAGATCATGTATAAAGTGGGGATGGGTCATAAACCTCCAATTCCTGACAAAGTGAGCCCAGAAGGGAAAGACTTCCTTTGCCACTGCCTGGAAAGTGACCCAAAGATGAGGTGGACGGCCAGCCAGCTCCTCGATCATCCTTTTGTCAAGGTTTGTCTGATGACTTTGGCTACAAAAATGGCAGATGGGAATGCGGAAGCAGCTTTTAGTCGGCTTCACTGTTTGCAGCGATGCCACAGGGCTTGGTATCACAGTGAGGGGCTGGTGTCAAGTTGATGCTGTCCAGAAAACATGCTGTGGAAACTTTCCAGAAGCACACGTAATGTTTTTAGCAAACATTTGACTATACAACCTGGTGTTCACCATTCAATGAACTTTCACAGCTGTTTTGATATACATTATGTTAAAAAGATAAGTCAGGCTTAAAAAGATAAAGTCAGGCTTCAACTCCATAGTAGCTCATCGGATCTGAAGAGCTCTCTGCTGAAAACTTTAGCAAGCACATATGTACAGGTTTCTAGAGATAAGGGCCTCCTCCATAAAAAGTGAAACCAGCACATGGTAGAGAACTCTACCATCCTTCTGTGTAAGGGTCTCCTTTTCTTTTAAGAAGTTTCTATTTGAAGTTAAGTTGAATATTGAAGGTTCATCTGGCAGTAACTGGTGTAACAGTCTGCAGTTCTTGAATGAACTATGGTGTGAGTCTTTCCTTAGGAGTAGACAAATATTCACAGCTACAAATTGAGGTGTATTAGTAACTTCTTTGAAGAAGTACATACATTATTGAATTCTGTCTCATTTTCCAGCACAAAGGTGTTCACTTTGGTGTTCTGAGATCATTATGCCCATCAGTGCAACCGTAGCCAGATCCCCTCCATCACAGAAGCGAAACAGGGCTTTAGGCTCCTAAGGGTTGCATGGTGACAGTGGGAATGGCAGTACACTTGCATATAAATACTTGCTATGTGTTATCTGTGTAACAAGGGAGAAGTAAGAAGCTTCGAAGATGTTTGAAGGTGCTAAAGAAATTGATCTGCTGTCATCTTCTTGCTGCAGTGGGGAGATGACAGAAGTAACTGCCTTTTGCTTCCTTCACAGGTTTGCACAGATGAAGAATGAAGTTACTCAATCTCTGGCCTTTTTCGTTCTGACAAGATTTTAATCACTACTGTATGTAATATTTACATAAAGACTGTGCTGAGAAACAGTGTAAAAGTTGAACTTAACGAAGACTGCACAAGTGACGGGCGTCACTTCCTCTGCTGCTCCTGTACATTTTACTTGGCACATGTTGCTCACGTGACGGTGTCCGCAAGTTGGAAGAAGCTGCATGTTTCAGTGAAAGTGCCATTACTACTGTATATGGACCATACCTTTTTTGTTCTTTCTCCCGTTTCTCATTTGATTGAGAACTGTAATGTTAATATGTAGTATTTTTGAACTTTTTAGGTTCAGAAAAATGCTGTAGTGTTATCAGGCGTTATGGACCTTGTTTTTTTAATCTGTTTGAGTGCACTGACTGTGAACTTTTACTGGGTTTTTTTGTTTATTTGTTTTTGGCAAGCTTCAGATTTGTTATGCACAAGGCTAATTAATGAAATTTTAAAGAAAAGTTTTTTCTCAATAAATGGTTTATTTTAGGAGATGTTGGTAAAGGGTTTTTCTTCGAAAAAGGGGGTTGTGTTATATTTTAAAATTTTTTGCAACACTTGTGTAAGACTGCTAAACTAATCTAATTGGAATAAGCTGCTCTTATACTGCAATAGTCAATGTTTTGTCAGGTTTCAAGACATAACAGGGCAAGATGCTTCTTACACAAGTGGTAACAGATTTAAGGACCTTCCCCCCCCTTTCATCTGCTTCTGACGAAAGGTGTTGGGCAATTGGTGGCCAATTCCTGACACTACTTACTATCTCAAGGATAACTTCCTTCTTGCATGTGTGCCATGTGAACAGGGAGTGCTCTGCATGGCATTTCTGTGGTCTAGAGGAGAACTGTTTAAGATTATTTTTGTGTTCTGTTTGGCAAAACCAAGAACTCAGTTAGCTTTATAAAACAGATTTCTGATCCTGGGCTTTGATTTTCCTGCCTCACCCCAGTTGTCATCAATCTCGGATAAAGGCGAGGTTAGAAGTGGTGAGCAATTGGAAGAAACAGCCTGCAACACGTGCTCTAGCTGATTGTTTGACTTGCTTATCACAAACAGGTAAGTTTTACTTGTAAACATTAGTGCAAGTTTGCATATTCCTGTTACAGCTTTAGACTTAAAATAAGATCTTGCTTTTAGTACTTGGTTTCATTCTAGTGTCTTGTCTCTTCTCCTGATTTCACAAGTTCTTGGTTAGTCCCAGGTGTGGGCTGAGCTGTTGAGGATGTATCACAAAACCTGACATTTCTAGCTAGAGAAGTATATGAGCCTTGCTGTGCATGTCACCTGTGCAGTGTATTTAGGCTCTCAAAAAATTCAACTCTAAATTTAAACAAAGACTGCCCCTTCTTTTCAGCTCCTTATTTTCAGTTCTGTGATAGGAGGGGAATTATGTTGTCATCCTCAGCAAAGGACTATGAAAGTAGCTGAGGTAGAAGTGCCCCTGGGCCTGTTGTGTGCTTCACTTTGCAGTGTAACAAAAGTATGTGAGTGATCTGTGTCCTCACTTGCCTTGTTCCACATGCCTTTCTACACAAACAGGAACTGTGGACAGCTTTTAGGAGTCAGGATAGGGGTGAAAAACACTTAATAGGTTGTTGCCAAGCAAAAGAAAACTCATTCATTGCATATCGGCTTTTCATACTTTTATTTTTGTATAAACAAACATTAAGACTACTTTTGTTAAGGCAGTTGTAGAACATACAGTTGCTTGTGGGGATGAGGGGCAAACACTGCTTCCTAATGACCTATGTCATTCTTTTAATACAGTGAATTGGAATAGTTTAACTTTGGCAAGTACCATTAAGCTTTCACTGTTTGTCAGTGAGTGCTGGAAGGGCCCAGTGGTGCAGTTCTTGTGTGCTGAGAGTTGTAGAAGTACTTAGGACTGTTCTAAGGGTTGGTCCTAGGGAAAGGGGTTTGAAATAATCTAAGTACTCTTTCAGAAGTATTTACACGTTTGGTATTTTCCTCTGGGAGATGCAATTGGAGAGGAAAGGGCTGAGATTCTTAGGGAACATTAAATGTCTTCCCCACCACATATTAAATCAGTAACCCTTTAAAAAAGGCAAAAGAGCTGGTCTCTGTCATTACATGAATATGTATTTGCTGCTCAGAACTACTCACCTACCACCCTGAGAAAGGCCCACTGTATCTGCCAAGTAATATGTACAGTAAAATTCTCCCCCTTCCACCCATTTTCAAACTCTTGTGAACAGTATCTTCAGGTTTGGCTCACTAGTGTGCCTCCTCATTACTACAAGATAGGTTCAGACTACAGCTTATAATATGCTGGTTTTCATTGTTAAGATTGTTACAGCAAAGAGTGCAGGGCAGGTGCTGCACTGTAAGCGTGGCAGCATACAACCTATTCCAGAAAGCTTCAGAGCATAGGGAATGTGTGTGTACACAAGGGGTGTGAGGAAAAAAGCCCCAAAAACTAGTCCCATAACCTGTTCCTTCCTTCATGTTGTAAATTCTCCTGCCTCCTCCAGTAAATTTCACTTAACTGCCCCATGCTAAAAGCACTACTCCACCTGCTCTTTAGGTGCTGCACATTAAAAAGGTGAGTTTCTCTATATTCTCTGATGTACTGAACAGCTCATACATGTTTCATAGAATGATTCATATTCTGTTGTATTAGCCCCTGTTTCTTTTTCTTCTGGCCTCAGTTTTATTATAGGAAAAGAGAAATGTTTTCGTACCAGCTGGCAGAACTAAGACTGCTCACTTTTTTCACTAGTTCTATGCACAGTGGAAATGGACTGTCTTTGAAAGTGCCAATCATAATCTCCACTCCAAAGTATCAGGAGCTGTAGATTTTAAGATTGTGGGTTTTTTCCAATCATAATTGCTGGTATTTAGAAATCCCCTCTTTTCCTTGGGAGTTTTTGTGGGTTCTTTTCTTGTTTTCTGTGATTCTATGAAGTTCTTTTTAGTAATCTGCAGATCCTTAACTCTGGAAGTTTAAAAACAGGAGGCCTCTGCCCTGAAATCAGGATCAGGAAAGTCAGAGCAACAGTATTTTCCTGAGGATTCCAGTTTTATTTAATTCAGAAGGGGGTCAAATCAAGTCCAGACGGATATAAAAAAACCTGAATGATATTGCTGCCCTAGGTCTTTGTCCCAGTTCCCCTCTTCTCCCCAAAAGAAAAGATAATTTAACTATTACCACAGGCTGACTGTTATGAGGCACCAAGTAAACTAATTTATCAGAAAAGACAGACACGCAGATTAATTAGGATCACTACAGTATGGGTGTGGGGCATACATTTTAATGCACACTTTGCATTATTTCACTACACCATGCCCAGTTATTTTCTTCCCACCACTGCTAGGAAGGCTTAGAATTTTAAGTAGTGTTTAAAGCCAAAAGAAATTTTATTATGTCAGTTTTTCCAAACCATAAATTGAATTTACTCTCAGAAGAATTACAGGTTTCAGCTATCCCTCAGATTTATGGCCTCAGGAAAGAGATGGCAGTGGCTACCTTAGCTCTGCTCGGGCCAGAAGGCCCAGTTTTGCTCCAGGTTATGCTACTGAAGGCTCTGATGTCTGGATGTCCAGGACCTGGCTGAAGTTTTAAAGGCCCCCATAGTCACGCTGTGGCGGTAAGTTCTAGATGTACAAAAACTCTACTGCAGTTCTACCAGTTCAGTAGAGCTGCTTCAGTCCAATACTGGTATAACCAAGCACAGCGTCTTACTGTACTGTATTTAAACACTGACAGATTATGGTGGTTAAACTGTGTGATCTACACAACTATCAATTTTAATCATCTTGTAACAATCTCCTGACATTAAAGCCTGCACCTCTGGTTAGTTTCCAGTCTCTTCATATAAGCACACTGGAATTTATATTTTTTTCTTCAAAACTTAAGACACTTCATAGGAAAACAAACCAACCACACAAATGCAAACCTGTTGTGGAGAGGATACAAAGGAGTGCATCTTTCAAGCGTGTCATCAGCCCAAACTCCCAGAGAAAAACAACAGGAGCACAAATTCGGATATGCATGGCAATTGCTCATCCTACCTCTCCTCTGATCTCACTTGAATATGCACTTAAGAGTTTTCAGCAGTTGCATTTGTTCCCTTTGGGTTGAAGCAGTCTCTGAAGATGCTACTTTCATTTCTGCTTGTTTTCATTGTTGCCATAGGTGGAGCCCTTGTTAATTTCTGTAACCCCGATCATCCATCTGACACCAACAGAAGCTGCAAAATAAATACGGTTAAAAGCTGCATTGCAGGCAAGGACTGAAGATCTGCACAGGTGAAAGAGACTTATCAGTGTTCCCAGCCTTACAGTAGCACAGCGTTAAAGGTAACTGCCCATACTCCCCAGGGTGACCATCCACGAGAGGTGCATTTGATGCTTCCACACCTCCACATCAAGGTATTTGCTGATGGCATCTTGGGAAGGAAGGTCGGACATGTCCTCTCCCACCAGCAGGGAAGAGGCTACAAGGAACCAACACGGATGTGAGGCACAGGCATGATGTGCTCAGCCCTGTTAAACCTGGACAAGGCCGGCTGTGCAATTGGGGCTGCCGGTGTTTCCTGGCTTTTGTGAGTCGAGTGACAAAGTGAACTAATGCACATGTCAGCATGTGAGTTGTGGCAGGGGAAGGGAACTGTGCTGGCTTTCAACAGCCTCCATGTCTGGAAGAGCACAAGCAGGCACAAGGGCACTTCAGATCTTGATAAAAAAATGTAAGTTGTAATGGACATGTCACAAGAGGCCAGGTTAAATTAAAAGACTTTATAGCTGATTTAGTGGTAATAATTCACCATATGCAAGAATTATTTTATTTATTTATTTGGAGCACCTAAAGTGACTAAGTTAAATGCAACTTAGCCTAAACTCCTTGCCTCACAGTTTGTTTTTTGGTTTTTTTTTTGGTCAAGGGGCTCAGCTGCCCAAAATCTATTATTCCCTACAGCTGCTGTACATATCCAGAAATGCCATGCTTCTTTCAGGCCTAAACCTACTTGGAAGTCACAAACACCTTTCCTCTGCTCAAAATGCTTTTTCAAAAAAACCCAACCAAACAAAAAAACAACAACCAAACCAAACAAAACCAAGAAAGCCACAAACCTGCCCTAAAGCCTCCATATCTCACTTTGACTGATGGTGAAAAGGCCCAGTACTGTGAGGTGCTCTAAGTGTCTCATCCCCATCAGTCCTTACATCTCTAAGATGACCCTGGACAAATTCTTACCAGCCAAGGGACTCTTTATGGTAAAGTGAGAGCCAGAGATCACTGAGAGAATCCTGGGGCTTCATACCACTACCAGGCACCACTTGTGAACAACGGGGCTGATGCAACACCCTGGGTCCTGGTGTTTGCTGCTCTTCCACATTTGAAGGAAAGGGCTGGCAGCCCTTGCTGCCCTGTGCTTTACCAGCTGCAACTTGGCATTACAATTAGCAGCCCCAAAAACCTCACTAGACTCATGTTTTGTAGTATGACAGTAAATTGACAGTTTTTAGAGTGCAAGTGGTAACTGGATACCAGAGCTGAGTCACAGGATGTGACACCACGATGGATGGACAGTGGGAAGCTCGTCTGTCCACAGGGCTGCCCTCAGGTCTTTTGGATGCCAGGAAAGCAGGGCCCTCTCACAGGCAGAAAGCTATGCAGTGAACAACCCAGAAAGGGAGCTGGCTCCAAGGGAGTTCACTGCCCCACACTCCACTGTCAATCTATGAATAGAAACACACAACTGAGACAAGCGAAGGGTTTCACACTCAAAAATAGACAAGACAAAAAGAAAACCATCTCTGACATTTAACTGGCCACAAGCTGGGGAAGAGAAGAGAAAGATCCAACATGTAGCCTGCAGTCTGGGATCATAACATAATAGTAAGTATGAAATCATTAAGATTTTAACCACAAGGGATAGAAACAGCATCTGGAGATGGACAAAGAGCATAAATAACAGCAGCTGCTACAGCAACCACACAGCACACTGGAGATTTCATCCAGTTCCAAGAATGCCACTGCCTGGACACAAAAAAGTACCTAGTTCAGCAGTTTGGATGTCTTTTTTTTACCCCCTCCTTTGTCCCTGTTAGAAGCTGCCACTGCCTTCTGTCCTCATTTCACCCTGTAGCCCTCAGCACCCTGGGGAAGGTGGGGTGCAAGGAGAAGGGACTGCTCATGTTTGCCAAGCCTGTGGAAGCAAAGTGGGGTAAGTGCTGGGGTGCCTCCTTGGTTTCTCTCTGCACTGCCTGCCTTCTCTCACAACTGTCCTGGGGCCTCAGTGCACACCCTAGTGATACCATCACATTTAAGGATTTATTCAGTTGTTTCAAATACAACTATAGTAAGGGTAACTTTGGGTGTTTTCCTTCAACAAAGAGGTAAAAGGGAGATCAAGCAGGAGTTGTGCCTAAATTATTTGCAGTGAGAGTTTAAGTAAGTCCACCCTGAGAAGAGCATGAGGGAAAGCTATCAGCTCAGGCATCTCTGCACTGCTCCACAGCAACTGGCAGAAGGTAACTGAGCTCCTGCCATCTTTCTGCCCACCATTACTCAGCATCCAAAAGATGCAGGAGGTTGCTGAGGACCTGCTCTGCCTGCTGGAGCACTGGGAGCTGAGGGAGGGCTAAGCTAACACAAATCAACAGAGCCAATATTGTAATCTCTTTCTTGGAATATGTTTTATCCTGTGCTGTCCTCACCTTCCATCCATCTCAGCCTATGGACACCAAGAGCCTCACTGCCCGGGTCACATCATGCTCCAGCCCTCTGGTCCATGCTCTGCACTTGGACACTGACAAAGTCCCCAGGGACTCACAGTTTGTACTGTAGAGCACACATACAACAGCTCCCACAGGATCCAAGCTGGCTCATAACTCCTTACACTCAAGTTCAGATGAAACACTTCTCTTGCCTATAACCAATACATAATTGCTGGCCCTGTGCCATCTCCCCAGATGCCATTGTGCTTTTAGCATTAAACATGTAAGAGCTGCTTCTCCCTTTAAAAGCCTGGAAAAGCCCACTCATCTTTTCCCCTTTTAACTGCTGTCGACAGCTCTACAATAAATTACTTCTAAAGCACAAAGAGTGTCCTCCTCAAGTTACCAAAACACGAAAAGCAACCCCTACTGGATTCTTTGAAGCCAAATGAGACTGGGGAAACAGGAGGAGGGGGGAAAAAAAGAAGCTGCTGCCAAATACAAATGCTGACATTTGACAGACACACTCACTGCTTTAACACCAAAATATCAGCACCAAGTTTTAAAAAGCAGTTGTGAGCTAAGTAAATCTCTTGCCATGTGTCCTGTGAAACTAAAGCTGGTTTTCAAAAGAGACTTTTGTCCCTCAAACTACTTGAGCATTTATCCTCTGGAGCAGGGACTGCCTTGTGTTGGTTCAGGTAGTATCACAGAGGGCTCCTGGTCCCAGACTAGTAGTTAGATATGAGGACAATGAGATGATTACTGGGAGTATAAATAGCCAAACTGGTGCACAGCAAAGCAAGAGGGGATGATATTTGCAGTATAAAGAGGAGATGTCATTTATTTAGCTCTGAAAGAGTTTGAGATGAAGCAGCAGAGCTGTATATACAGTGGTTATTTCATTCCTTGTATCTGAAAGTTAGGGTCTGAGGGATTGCAGTCCTTCCACTCCAGTGGGAGCAGAGCATTTCTCTTAAGGCTTTTTCCCCCTGAACAGCCAGTTACTTACAAGTCAGTAAGTGTTTTACTGGAGGCCACAATAGGCTATCCAAAGGACAAATGACAATCTAGAAACAATGCAGAGGGTACCAAGTAAAGCACCCCTTAGTAACTCTGCTCTTTCCTATCAAAACCTATGGAAAGGTTTATCTTGTGCTATCTGCACTTATATCAGGTACTGAAACTTGCCCTTAAAAACAGCAATCTGTGACAATGGGCTATTAGGGACTCCAGTAAGCTTCCCTGGAATATCAGGTGAGCTGTCAACTTGCCAAAGAAAAAGAATAAACACTGCCTGTGCTGCTTCCATTACCAAATAGTGAGAACAGGTCTACAAGGAGCAATGTGAAAAGCCAGTTTTATCATCTGATAAATCCCTCCAATCTACAGAAAAACCTTCCTTTCACGTTGTTAAGCCACCAGATCCTGATTACCATTCACACTGGCAAAGATGGTAAATACAGTCCTCCCTGCTTTGCTACAAACTGGATGTGCTGGGCAGACAAGTTCCAGACGGCACCAAGAGTCACAAGATCCAAAGGTTATGTATGTTTGTGTCCATGTACCGCTGTCTCCCAGCCACCGCAGAAGTCACTTCTGAGCCCTTGACTAAAGCTGGAGACAAAGTGCTAAATAAAATACGGGTTGCTCCTCTGTCAGAAGATGGTTGCATCACACCCAGAACATTCATGACAGAGACACCCCTTAGGATATAAAACACAGTTTGGGGACAATGGCCTTGCTACAGAAACTCAGCTATTGGTTACTAAAGTCAATGTGACAGCTTGGGCTGAAGTTTTTTTCTGCTTCCACAGAAAGAGACAACGACTCCCAACTAGCAATAACATTGGTTTTAAAGAGATATAGTAAAATGGAAAGACTACAACATACTAAGATAACTGTTGCTCTTGTGGCACGTAATGACACATCCACTTTTAAGCGACCAGGATAAACCAGATCTGCTTTTTGTTTGGTTTGACTAACAGCTGAGCTTCCTTCCACTCCCACTGATTCTCCTCCCTCCGCAGCTTCACAGCAGTTGCTATCTGCTAGTAAGTGTCATCATCTTTCTTATTTCCTGCTCATCAGCAAAAGGTGCCTGTCTGAGTCTAATCAAGCAAGAGCCTCTACTCCGGCAGTGCGTGTTCCACTGCACCACAGATCCCAGCCAATTACAGGCACTTTGGGTTTGATCACACCATGATCAGGGTGAGAACAGAGCTGTTGCTAAGCACAGTGGTCCTTCAAAGGCAGCAGAGGACTGCAATGTGCACTATCCCACAGATGTGGCAGATGGGTATGGGGCAGCAACGCACATCATGCATTCTGAACGTGTTCTTCAGCTGTGCTTTTGCAGCCTGGGATCTCAATACGTTCATCCTGGCAAGCAGACTGCTGCTGGAGTCCTCTGTTAGGTCCAGTGTTAAAGATAACCTGAGAATAAGTCCTTTGGATTATCACTGCATTCAAGACAGGACTCACAGCAGCCTGCTTATTAACCTTTCCCTGTGGCTCGAAGCAGAAGAAAGCTAGGCCAGGAGTAAAACAGCAAGAAAAGGGGGGAGAAAAAAAGGAACAAAAGGGCATTCTTGCTGTCCACTCTTAGTAGCATCATAGCTTTTTTCCTCTGCAGGTTCTTTCTCTCCCTTCCTGATAGAGAAAAGACATGATCTAGGTCACTAATGGCAAGGTATTGGACTCAGGGTGGAGGGTGCAGGGATGTGGTGTCAATTAAGTTAACAAGGGCTGAATCCAAAACCATCACAGATGGCACAATGCCAAGCATTAAAGCATCCAGCCCTGAGGTTAAACTCCAGAGGTTAAACTCCAGAAACGCTGAATTATGGAACAAGGATCCCCGTGGAGGGTACATGAGGTATAAAGCACTTTGGGATGGCACCCAACCACCTACCTTGCTGAGTGGAAAAACTGAATTAATAGGAAAATGCTGAAGAAAAGATGACAAATTAAAAAAATTTTGCAATGGTTATGCTTCAGTGCACCATTAAGCCACTGTTCCACAGTCCAGTACCAAACAGACTATGCCAGCATTTCTTCAAAGGCAGAACAAATGCCCTCCTGAGTTCTATTGCCAGGGACGAAGCATTTGCAATGGTGTCACACCTCATTCCACCCACTGTTGAATATCCATTTTGATCAAGAGCATAGGGGAGGCCGATCAGCCTTTCTCTGCAACTGATGGGGATTTGAACCTGACACCTCCCATTCCTGAGAGCACACTCCAACCACGGTGCTCACTCTACACTCCCATCCTATTCACCACTCAGAGAAAGGGAGAGGGTGGCACTACTTGTAACTTCCAACAAGGAAGGTGGGTGAAAGAAGATGCTTCAAAGTTGTAGTCACTGCTCCAAGAAATTCTTCACATTTTACACAAAGCATTCTCAGGGTAACAATCACCAACAATTTCTCCAGGTGAGGACGAGAACAGGATTCTCCTCTTTCTTCCTCTATCCTGCCCATCTACCAACCATTATGCTGGACCTTACCCTTGCTCTTGTTTTCCTTCCTCTGGCTCAAAGCATCACAAAGTACATTTGCTGTCTGCATGCACACACAAATTCTTCCTTCTCCATTTATCTTTATAAGAAGCCTTAACAGTAGCCGAACGCAGTGTTTGTTTCTGTGGGCACTTTATGAAAAAGAATATTGTGTGCCTACCATGTCAAGCTCTTCACAATGGGCAAAAGGACACTGGTTGGTTAATCTTGATCAAACTAGAATGGGACCTGCTCAAGATTCAGACTTCTAAGAATGCTAAGAAATATTGCACATTAGGAAAAATGTTCCATATTTTTCTATTTCCTCTGTGTTGCTATTCTTTTTAATCCAACTCTAATTAATCTCTGCATCCACTTCACTAACAGCCAGGAAGACTGTGAAGTTCAGTTTTGTTTTCAAAGGGCATTTTTAAGGCACACAGAAGTTAAGGTGACGAAGCCGTAAATACATGTGATGGTCAGTGCAATCATAAAAAGTATTTGCTTTATAAATGTATGGCTTATTATAGAAGGGAACTTATTCTCCACACAAGCACCCAATCGTAGACACTGAGATATGATGCATTTTGCCAAACTGATCTGGTTCTTGCTTCCATGAAGGACACCAAATGACATCTCCCTCCCTTTCTGTGGGCCAGCTCTTTATTTTGCTTTCCTTCCTCCCCTTAAATAACATACTAATTTAAACACAAACCCAGGCAGTTCAGAACTACCACAGGAACTGCAGGAATTACCTGTGATAGTCTATGCTCTGTGCTACAGAAGTCAGGGAAGATGGCCACAACAGGCTGTGCTTAAATCACGAGTTCATGGATTACCAGTGCATGACACAGACTATGATTAGACAAAAAAATTATCAATAGAATAAATTATCCTTAAGCCTTTCTTCTAGGCATTCAAAGTACAACCCAGCAAAGCACAACACAAGAAAAGAAAGCCTTTTGTAGGCAACCCACTGAGAAGTCACTGTTCTGATTTCTACACAAACAGAAAATTTTGTAGGCAGCTCTTATAAAAAAAAATACAACTATACAAAAATAAACAAAGAATCTTTTCAACCTATTCCAAGCTAAAGTGGATATAATATCCACCACCCAACAGATGGGCTGTTAACTTCACAAGTCATCTTTATATTTAGCAAGCCTCAATAAATCATATCTGAAAGCCATCCTGTAAGTAATCTTTTTGTTCAGAAAACTTACCTATTATAATGACAAATGCAAAACTAGCCAGTGTCAGTGATGATCCACTGTTGATCATGTTGATGAGCAGCTTGAACAAGGGATATAGCAGCAATAAGGCCCAGAAAAGCCAGTTCAAAAGTGTCCATGGTCGATGGGGTGGTACTATAGGGACTGCTGGGTAGGTTCCTGTTCGGTAATATTCTTCCTGGAATGCATCCTAGTAGAACAAAGGAGAGCAACAATTAAATCCCCATCTGCCAACAAAACTAGCCACTTCTGACTTTGATGTTCCACCTGCTGCAGGCTTGTAACCACAGAGGAAGATCAAAGACCAAATGATGGCTGGAAAGCTTGTACTTTGAAGTCAATGAACACAGAGTCAAAAGGGAAAAAAAAAAGGAAAAAGGAAAAAGAAAAAAAAAGGAAAGAGCACACACTGATGTGTACATACTTTCTTTCTCCTGCACACAGCAGCCTGAAAAATGGCATACCTGGAGAGTATAACAAGCCCAGTAAAACAAGATGGGTGATGGGATGTACACTCCTGCAGCAATATTGAACCTCCTGCAAGAGCCACTGCCACTGCCCAAATACTGCTGGAAAGCTACATGCTCAGCAGCAGATCCTCTGTTCCCTAATGTTTCCTCCAACACTGCACTTCTCTAAAACAGCACCCACAAACCAGTCAAAAAGGTGACCAGACCTTTGCCCCATACTCAGAAGAACATCACCTCCTCTCCCACCTGCTTTGTCCCACAGATGCAGTCTTGTTCACCTCATTCCCATGAAGCTTGTGGAAGGAAGTTTGGGTGCTGAACCTCTCTACAGGCAGTTGAGTATGCAGTTTACAATCTCTCACTGGTTTTGACCAAAGGACTCTCCCTTTTTGTATAATATGAGGAAGATAATGGGGTGGGGGCTATTTTTCTTCTGTTCTGTAGCGTGTGTTTTTTAAAGCACAGAAGACTTAGAACTCAGTGCCTTCCTGTAGAGCCCATGGGGTGAACAGCATTGCTGTCAGCGATCTGATCAACCAAAGATATCAAAAGGGGGTGGGGTAAAAAACCCTTCCTACTTTTTCAAAAGCAAAGATTAATAATCTGTGTAATCACATAAAACTGGTTAATTAATGAAGTCAGTTTTAGACTGACATAAAAAGGAACCTTAGTTTTGCCAGAATGAAGTACTATACTTCTTCAAAGAACGGATTTTTGCTTTCCAACAATTCCAGCAAAGCCAAGATTGTCCTAATCAACACAAGTTGTTTATTTCTACTATGCTATGATTTTACACTTACTTACATTCCAGCTGACATAAATAATTCTTTATTTATTTAATAGCAACTTGAGCAATTACAAGCTGCTGCCATTTTATCTATTTTAAAGGGAACATTCAGCTTTTAAGAGGTTACACAGTAATTACATACTGCACTCTCCTTACTGAGATTAGAAAAATTATGAGTTTTACTCATGCGAGCTAGACTGTACTGGGATCACTACGGCCAATTAATTAGCCATCTTCAACAGATTACAGAGGGTATGAAGTTTTCTTTACACTGCCTTGAGGACTTTGGTTTATAACTGCTTTAACAACACAGAGCTACGAATCATCAGTAAATTGAATTCTACTATATACAATTAGGTTCCCAAATACCAGTATTACCCAGGAAAGTGAGGAATTCATGACTATTATTGGTATTGCCATTAGAGGGCCTGTTTCTACAGAGAGCAGGACAGGCTTGCTTAAAACAAACCTAGCAGTGTGTCCCTTCTTGGCTCTGCATAGCATTAGGGGCAGCAAAACCACTGACCACATCGCAGAAAGGTTTGAGACAGATGGAAAACATATACAACAGGCAAAACAGTGTCAAAACCAACACCTCCACTATGCATTTCACACCATTGTGAGGGAAGAGCTCTTGAGCATTCCTTATTCTCAAATATATTCACTTTCCTTGCAAAAGACATCTCTGGGTTAATCTGTCTTCTAAGCTTTTGCAAGAGTGCCTATGGTACCCATTAACATCTCAAGTCAGCCTTTAAACAACACATAATGTACCTCAAAATTTCCTGAAATCACCTCACCTACATTAAGCTCCTTTCATTTCCCTGCATACAGACCTTGTTTCCAGTTTGTAATCAATCCCAGCCACTCAAGTATCATTTTCAGACATGGAAACATGCTCCCTCTATTGGCCCCACCAAATTTAAGTTACTTCAGACAATGTGGGGGTAATGCAGGGAACATCCATCAGAAGCTAACTGGATTCTTCCTCCCAGGAGGTCTGACGACAGAGGTACGCCGCTGCCTTTTCATGAGGAAGCCCACAAAGAATGAGTATCCAAAAATATACTCTTTGTTCCCAAACACTGGAGTTCTGTACACTTGCCCTCTTCAGTTATGCTTTGCTAATTCCCTAGGGCATTTCAGCATATATTTTCATGCCCTGTTTTCCATGCTTCTCTTACAAGTGAGAAAAGTTAGAAGCTTGCTTTCTTTTTAATGGAAATTAAGATTCTCAAGCAGATCTTCTATTTCAGGCACTAAGGGTGTAAGGAGGTAAAAAAAGAAAACAAACATGCTGGCTGAGCTGTGACTATTACACAGTACCTCTTCAGACCAGGCACTAAGATCCTCAACCCAGCCCTTGTTAAAGTCAAAGGCAGCCTCTCTAGCAGTGGGAGTTTAAAAAAATAAAAGAAAATGTCAACGTGCCACACAAATTGCACCTCTGTCATAATTTGGCATTAACTGATGCAGTGTTAGCCATATGCCGAAGGACAAAATCCACCCCAGGTGAGGAAGAAGCACAAGGACACAGTGCTTACTGTAAGTCTGGAAAAGGAAGGAGAACAGTGTTTTGTTTAGAAGAGCACAGTGCCATTGTTTATCTGGCAAGACTCTGCTCACTGCATTTGCAGCAGTGGCTAAACAAAAAAATGAAGTACTAAGTAGCAAGAACATAAACGTGCCAGATTCCTAGAGAGAAGTATCTCTGACAGAGGGACATGTAAGTGAGATCAGGCAATGACATAAAAAACCCCACCAAAAGCTTTCCTAGAAGACCCTCACTATTTTACTAATGTCAACTTAATTTAAAAAAAAAAAAGTCATAACCCTCCATGTCCACTAATTACTGATTTATTACTCATTCCAACTGCTCTGCAGCCCTGATCACCACGAGTGCACAGGCCTTGACCTCAGTATGTGTGGCACTCCCTAGTCACTAAAGCATGCTACTACAGCATAATTCAGCACACTGTACATAAGTCTTGAGAAAGTACTGCAAAATTATTAAACTCACTGAGAATAAGCAAAGGCACACGTAACCATAATGCACGATGAAATAGGGGCTCTGCTTTCCAGCTGCAGCACACCTTGGCTTGTTTTGAAACAGGAAGTGGAAGTGCTACAACCGAAATAGACAAAGAAGGGGATGAGTGTGTATCTCTTGCAATGAATCACTGCCCTTTGAATACAGACTTGTTACATGTTATCATAAACATTTACTGACTCTGAAGACAATCTAAAACAGAACTCATTTTTGGAAACAGCACCTGGGCAGCTGCTTCTTATCTGACCTAAAAGCCAATTATCTTTTCTTTAAATGCAGGGCAGAAAGATGAAACAAAACTGCATTTTTACCCTGCAGGTGGGATTTCATCATCTCAAAGTTGTCCCTGCTCTACATTCTGCCAGTCTGATTTTACAAAGTCATAGGCTTCAGTAAAACAGGAATGACTGCAATGAAATAACAGTTTCACTAATGTAAAACAGTTTGAGAAAGAGAAACGTGTCACCCTCAGAAAAAAATTAAAACCATCCCCAAACAAAAACCCACCTCTAATGAATAATAATAAAAAAAGGTTACATAACCAAAAAGGTTTTAAAGGAAAACTAAATACACACTCCTTCCCTCCTATTCTTAACAAGAAACTAAAGATTTAACCAACCAGCAAAACTGCCATTAAGAACAGATATGAAGGATATTATGTTATACCATATCATATAATAGTATATAGAATAGATGTACACTCTGTTTGCATTAGAAGTAACAGAGTGTTCTCCAAAGACTGAAAACAGAACAAACTTGAAGTGAATTACTGCAAACTACATAATAAGGGATTCAGGAAAACAATTACCATATGTGCATTTATGTTCTTGTCCTATAAACATCTAAATGGTTCTCAGGAATGTGACAAAGGGCTACAAATTCATAGCAGCAGAAAGTGGACTTTTGCAATTTTCAGCAAAAGGACCATTTGCATATATATGCCCCTAGAATGAGTACGAGCCTGTGGGAAACATCCTGCTGCTCTGCTGGGAGTTGGGTCTCAATTAGGCAGTACTGGCACAAATTACAAGAAGGGGGATCAGAAGCATGGTCCCAAGATACATTTACTTTTCTCATTCCTGTAAGCAAGCTGCTTAGAGGGGCTATGAATTAAAACAGAAACAGTCATGGTGTGAAACTGAGAAAGACTAGGACACAGTCAATACAGAAATGCTAACGTGGTGTCCTGGGTAGAGCACGACAAATGGTGCAGCAGAATTTTGCTGTCCCAGCGAGAAGAAACCAGAGCTATATTCTGTCACTTCTAAATCCAAAGCACTACTGCATTCCAGTCTGAATACATAACTTTGATCAATGTATTGAAGCAAACTGAGCTGCCAGGCCCTCATGCCATGCATACCTATGACTCCCACTGATTGAAATGGGAATGCTGGGTGTATTCAAAAAGCACATCCCCCAAACATTATCTCCTGTATTCATAAAAACAAAGCCCAGAAGAAACAGATTCTGAAAGACTGAAGGATGTATATGAAAGCATTTGGAAATAAGAAAAAAACTCCACCAGCCACCTACAAACACACAGTCATTATTATTCTCTCCTCATCCTATTTAATTAGGAATCTTAAATGCATGCCTTCTATACACACAATGTGAAAGCAATTTATCAGCCTGTCCTATTAATATTGGATGTTTCCCTTGGTAAGGGGACAGAAATTCTAATACACTAAAAATACCTCATTTAGCACACAAAATACTTCTTGATTAAGAAGGTGCCTTTAAGGGGAAGGAAGACAAGACAGAAGATGATTCTGATTTCTGTATTCTTATGCAACTTTTGTAAAGAAGAGTTTTACAGCTACTCTACAAAGACTTGTTTAAGCTTTCTTCCTGTTGCTCTTTATAAAGGCAATCATGACTGGTAGCACAAGATCAGTTTGTACGTGCAGAAACACCACTCTAAGCCTCCAAATTAGGACCGCTACACATGGACACTGTAAAGGTCTACTGGCAGCATAAATAACTGAGCAGTAGGGCTCACAAGTGCTGTCTAGACAAAAAAACTAACCTTTTCTTGATATAGTTTGTGGAGCCAGGTGGAACATTCCTGCTCATCTTCTGGGACTTCCTCTAGTGGAATCCGCCTGCCAATGGTAAACAAGAGAAATTCAAGAATATTAAATACTTTGGCTCCCACGAACAGCACTTGCATTATACAAACAGATTAGCCATCTGACAGGAGACTTGCTACATTTTTCTCCATTTTTTTAACTTGTGGTAACAACTCCAAGATCAGCAAAGTATAGTTTGCTTCTAGAGCCACCTTCAATTCTTAGATATATGTGAAATTCAGAAATTTAGATTTCTGAAATAGTCATGCATCATGTTTGAGCTCACTAGAGCAATTTCCAAGATAAAGGTTTACAATTATATCTGTTTCCAAACAAAAGTTTTGAATTAATGAATTTCTTACCCCACCTATGAAGTTAAAGGCTGTACTTAATCAGTTAGGCAATACAGAGAAAAAACAAACTCTTCTTCCTATACCTATGGCAAAGTTCTCTAGTGTTTCTCCGTCAACATTTCCAATTCTTTTAATTTTTGTTATGTGAAGTTTGGTTAGATAATTTCCAGCAAAATCGCTGCTATTACTAAAAAATTCTCTCTTGACAAAACAAAGTTTTCATCTCATCATATGAATTTTGGTCAATAACCCTGTGACAGAAAAAATCTCTTACCATCCTCATTTAAGTACGCCAATGGCAATATTTAATAATATTCAATATTTAATAATTTTTAATAATTAATATTATATATTATAATAATAATTAATATTATATATTTAATAATTAATAATTTTACATTTTCAATGTAGCATATATTTTAATTAATACACATTAAGAGCAGCATCAAATTAACTTCCTTCAGCACAAGAGAAGCACATCTCACAGTCAGGACACTCCTGTTTGCAGTTAGCAAATTAACAGGTGTGACACTACTGGTTTGTTCCTTTAGTTAAAAAGGTCTTAAGGTGACAAACATTGGAAGCCAATGCAATCCAAATTTTGCAAAATTCCATTCAGTACAATACCTATGGCACTTTGATAGGCAAATATGGAGGATTTTGAAGAACATCCATGACAGTCCCCAGCCAACTACCAGAAAATATTTAGCCATGAGGCTTACCCTGCCTGTAAGAGTTTTTCAAGAAGCTCAAAAGGACAGAAGGGTTAATAGCTGCCCTGAGTCTTGAAAAACAATTTCCACACTCTGCCAGACTGACTTGCAGCAGTCTGGAATGGTGTAAATGGAGACACAGGAAGAGGAGACGCCCCTGTGCTCTGCTGGAGAAATGGCCCACAGAGGTAGGGCCAGCTACTCCTCCATGAACACTAGCCAGCCAGGCTGTGTACACCAAACAGAAGAACAACTAGGCTAAGCTACCAAGTGGGAGAAGGAATCAAGAGAAAGTTTCTCTTTACCTTTGAGCAAAAGCAGTTCTAAAGAAAGTATTTCTTCAAACAGCCAGAAAAGGGGAGGTAAAAAGAAAAGGTCACCCTATTCCAAGATAAACCAATTGGATCAGCCCACTATAGCTCTCAAGGGGTTATGATGAACTCCTGGTCACTTGTGGTGTCACTTTTAGGCTCCTATGCAGCAACGCTAAACTATCACATGTCCTGAGTGCCTGTAGTGTGGGTGCTGCTGGTGGAACCTCAATTGGGAATTGGCTCATTCCCATTAAGATTATGGGAAGCCATTGGGGTATTCATCACTTACAGAAACATTAATGAAAAGGAATCCAAGAAATGTTTTTTTCATTAAACAACCCCTTGGTAGGGAGGGAGCAGTAGTCAAATACATCAACGACTACACTACCAAACAGAGATAGGAACAGTCTTCAGCCTGGGCTCCACCAGAGCTGGAACTCCTGTGCCAGAGACAGGTATAAAGCAACTCCATCTGAACACTTAGATGATGTTTGGTATTCTGGCCAAGGGAGTGAAAAGAGGCCCTTCTGCTGCTCCTGAACCAACAAACAGACAGACAAATGAATTAAAAAATAACAAACAAAAAGTACTGTAGACATTTATGGGTTCCTCACATATTTACAGTCACAGAACTTTACAAGAAACCTTTCCCATCCAATAGTTTTTATCTGAAGCTCTGTGAAGCGGTAGAGATTTGCTTTCCATTATCTACTTGAAAACATTCCCATTCCCTTATTTGTCCAAGTGTGACTGCAAGTACACACTCCAGTAGGCTAAAAATGAATTAAATGATGGATTACTTGCCTTACATACAAATCTGCATGATATTTTTTTCCATTTAGAACTCCCAGCAATGTTGGATTTTCATTATTTCTAAAATTGAGGGTAGAATCGTAGACTGCAGAAACTACAAAAAGAGAAACAGGTTATGTGATTACCACAGTAATACAGTGGAAGTAAGTCATTATCTCTCAGACACAGAGAATATTTAAATAGCACCACAGTTTGAGCTGTCACCAAGGTAAAAATGACAATGGAACATTCAGTATGCAGGATTTAAGAAGCCAAATAACTAGTGACCCTTTCAGGAACTGCACCAGTAGAATGAAAAGGCCAGCTCTCCACCCTTGCCTCTTTCCCCATCAGGTGCAGAATGACGGGCATACAGTTACAGTTTCTGACAGACTATACCGAGGACTTCCTAGGAGTCAATGGTCGAAAAACTGTTGCCTTTCTTGATTCACTGTGAATGATTCAACCACTCCCCTAAATGTAAGGAAACAACCAGGCAAATACACACTTTACAAACAATGAACAATATATACCCTTTGACTAAGAACAGGTAAAGTGTGTGTGTGTGTGTGTGTGTGAGAGAGAGAGACATCCTACAGCAGGAAGGCTTCTTAATGCAACGATAAACTGCTGAGGTCAAAACCAACCCCCCCTTCATGTTCCTTATTTGATAACTCAGGCAGTTGCTATAGGGCAAAGGCAGAGACAGAATGACAGACCGCATCTTGTGTTAGCAGGGCTGCTGCTATGAAGGCATGCAAATGTGAGGCATATAACATACAAGTTCCACTGAACAAAACTGCAGCCAAACTTTCAGTGTTGAGAAAACTGTTTCTGCAGTTCAGGACTGAGCAGTAACAGCAAAAGCATTTGCAAAGACCAATCACAGATAAACCAGACAGCATTAAGACAACATTAACAAGCAGTTTCCAAAGAAAACACGTTCACTGTCAAACCACATACACTGTTTCATAAAAGTTTGTCTGAACACATGCTTAGAGACACTATTTTCCTGATGTCACAAAACTACCAGAGAACAATTTGTTTTCCTGAAACTAAAATATGCTGTGCATCATGGTATGAGTTCTAAGATAAATGACAGCAAAAAAACTTCCCTTTTTTTGTCACTTAAGTGACTAAAAAGCATTTCACCTGTAGCTTGCTGTATTTTAAGCTTCCTCCTCCAGAGTTTTGCAATAATAAATAAAAACTCATGTCATGAACCTTTACTGTGAGAGGTCTTGACCCACCTAAGAAAGACTTTTATTACATAGCGCAGATTTGCTCTTGGTTTTGAAACCTCTCTTATTATGAGAGATAAATATGGCTTGGTCAAAACATTCAGCTCCCAGAAACTCACCACATCATTTCTTACTGCAAAACAGAATTCAAAGCACAGAAGAGCTTCAACACTGAAAGAAAATCCTGATCACAAAGGCCAAACCCTTGTCACTGCATACAGACTGTCCCCTGCACTAACAACTCCATTTTTTACCTACTACAGTTAGGTTCTTAGCCCAAACTCAAAACTGCAACACATAAGCCAAAACCTACTTCTAGCACACTACTCTCCCCGTACAATACAAGTAGGAACTTACTTTTTTAATAAATTATCTGCCTCCATTTTTAAGCTTCTTAGCATAGAAGGATTTTACTAATCTACTCTAATTTACTAATCCAATGTAATTGAATGAAAACAAGAGCTCAGTTTGGTTTATACAGGGTAAGCTTCTTAGTTTATTCTTTAATACCATTATTCTAACAACAATAGGGATGCAATAAAGCAAAGTATGATATACACAACACTTGTTCTTTCATTTTTTGGAAGATATCTCCTTTTAAGGTTTTATATGAATTGGGTTTTTGTTCAGACAAATTGGAAGATGGTTCTCCTGTTCCGAAAAAAAACTTCTTCAGAGTTGGACAGCAACATCTTTATATGCTGACAGCATTACAGAGTTTTCCTTTTCTCCAGGGAAAAAAAGAAGAAATACTATTCCAGTTTGCAACTGGTCTGTAGTTTCATATTCAGTCCAGTCCCTTTTAATAACACACCGAAATCTTCTGGTGCAAAGCAGTGGCAAACCCAAGACAATGACAGCATATGCAGGAGTAAAGAGACCTCTGTTATATCCAGATATAACAGAAGATAACTAAAGACTTCAACTTTTTCATTCTGAAAGTGTAGGAAAAGAACAACAATAGAAGCGTCAAAAAAAATTACTGCATGAAATTAATATTTGCCAGAAAGCTTCCACAGCCAAAGCACCACTACTATGCTGTGTGACACACTGGAACTGGTTATCATTAAATGTGGATTTTGAAAATATATAATTAGAAATGGGCATCTCATGACTTTCCCATCCAAAAGCTGAAGAGTCCAGAAATTTCACTTTCTAAAATAAGTAAAAAAAAAAACCTCTATACTATCTTGAAAACATTGCAACAACTGTCTCAGTCTCAGGCTAATATAAGCAGTATCAAATGAAGTTTTGCTTCATTTGTGAAATATTTTCTATGAAGAAATTATATCATAAAACCTCTTTTTCATTAAAAATCGAACAAAATATGTGAAGGCCTTTTCCAGCTGAATTGCTATTTCATGTCAAAAAAGTCCAGGGTTTTTTTTGATTTGTTTTCTAATATCTGCACAGCTTTTTTTCACATCTTTACTTTTGTTCCCTCTGCAGCATTCTGACAGAGAGCTATGTACTTAAGAATTTAAGATTTAATTTCTTAACTTCAACGTAAAACAAAAATAAATCTTCTGATTACATGTATCTAGAGAGGGTTTTTCATATTTCAGTTGTCCTCTTGAATTTCATGCATTATTTTGTGGCCATGGAGGATCATGACAGAATCATGGTGGATCATCTGACAAATCAACCTACAGGGAATGAGTGGACCTACATGCACCTTCATATTATCACACAACAATCTGAAGACTGCAAAAGGGAGGAGAAGGTACAGTAGAATTCACTGTACTTTTGGTATGACCAACCTCAACACAATCCTTAGATTTAACATTTCATTGCTCTGGTCAGCTTGGTCAAAAACCACTCACCCTCTCAAACTTGGTAACTTGCTCTGGATGAAGACCAGAAGCCCACTTGAAAAAAAATAATATTCCAGGACTAAAGTGCAACTCAAGGGAAGAAAAAAGTCATTGCAATACTCCCAAACACTGTCATACTGAATTCCATGAGAACACCACTCTTGCATTTCCTCTAGGACAGCACTTCCCAGTGTGCACCACTGGAGGAAAAGGTGCACAACACAACTTGGGCTTATCTACAATCCATCTCGAGGCACATTTTTAAATACAAGCCTTCACTAAATAAAAACAGCTGAAAGGAATTGCCTGATATACAGCCAGACAATAAAAGTAACAGTTAAATATATCTTTTGCAGTATTTATGACATTTATTTTTATGGTAAATAATGTATGAGTTTTTTAGAAACAGATCTGCATTTGCCTTTGCTTCCATGAACAATACAGGTAGCAAAAAGAGATTTATTAAGACAGCAAATAGCTTCTAGAAATTAAGTTCCTGGGGACTTTGTCTTTACTACCATATTGGTAGAGATGGTCAGTGACAAAATTATCAGAACAAGTTCAAAAAATATTAAAAGCACTTCTTTAAAAATCAAATTGTGTGCAGAGGTCTGAACTTGTGAAAGTAAATCTCTGAGAAGAATTCCATTATCACTTATGAAAAAAATGAGGTAGGAGGGAAGGTTCTTTACTTGTTCTCTCATGTAAAAGATATTTTTATCCAAATACATCTGCTTATGCTGACAGAAAGGCATCACTGCTATGGAGGCAGCTTCTCATGTACGTACATTGCGTAAACTCCTTCTGAAGGTAAGTTTTTGAAAACAGATGGACTTACCAGACTGATGTCACCCATGTCTATTTCTAACTACTGCAGAAGTGCTTCAGAACTACTTCCAGAACGACTGCACCAGGGAGCATTAAGAGCTGATACAAAGTTTTGAAGAGGACCAACCTGTGATTACTGCTACTAGGGTGAATTACCTCTACACACAGAAGGAAAACCATCTATCCATGTATCCATATCCATAGTACTACAGACTCAAAAAAGTTGAATCACACCCTTGTCAGAAAAAAGTGAAAAAACCACAGAAGCTCTGTGAACTGGTCCCAAACCTGTGGCTTGACTTTCCTGCTATGAGGTGCTGCAGCTCCAGACAGGGCTACCACCCCTTATGGGAGAGCTGAAAGTGCATTAGCCCAGATAGCAGAGTCCAAAATGGAGTCAGGCACCTCAGCACCAGTGTCTCATTTTTAGAGATGCACAGCGATATCCCACTGCGGATTTGACCTAACTTTTAGACAGAACTTACATTTCTAGATTATGGACTGTCAAAACAGACTCCCATTCATTCTCTATTCAAAAAATATGCATGGATTTCCTTGTTATCTGTACATAATAATATTAAAAGGAGTTCTAAAATAAGACATTGTTTAAAAAGGCTCACCACATGTACTCCTTGTCTCTATAGGAGAGAAACATATAATTACCCAGACAATAACCCTAGTATCTGCCTCTCATTGCAAAAAGTGACAAGGCAAGTAAAGCAACATATCCAGAAGAACCTGCAACACCGATACAGGGTCATCAAACCCTCAGAGGTTTGCTGGTTGGGTTTTCAAGCTCGACAGTTTTTGCTGAAACTGTATATGAGAAGCTATGGCTTTGTGCTTCTTCCTGAACTCTCACAGGGAAACACTACCTTCTTCGTGGCCTTACACTGCTTCATCTAGCAAGTCACAGCCTCTGGAGTGAGGTAATGACACACACTCCCATAAGTATAAAAGTAATCTGGCAATCTTGGCCTTATTTTTCTGAAGGTATTTCAAATATTTAGGATCCTAGTAAGTGCTACTGTAGTGTATTGCATGAACACCCAACAGTTTTTATAAATGTCACTTGGGTTCCCTAAAATTGTTTCCTTTTGAAACATTTTCCCACAAATCAGCTATTTGTTCACAACCATGCAGTATTTCGCTTGTACTACAAAGAGCAGTGAAAAGAACAAAATCATCACCACAATAACCTGTCCCTGATTCCCAGCTCAGGGGATTAGAGGTCACAGAGTTTTGACTCATCTCTTCTTCAATGCCTCAAGTGTACTACCTCCCTGCCCTCAGCCAAACAGCCACTCTTATTCAAAAGGCAAGGTTAAACTGTGCCCTTAAGGGAGTTACTGGATGCTTCACATAACTCACCTCTTCTTCATGTATCGGAAAAGATCCAAGCTATGCTATTCATTTTGGGGGTGGAAAGTTGTGGGTGCCTGGTAAGCTACAACAGTGATATGATCTACCTGACTCACATGAGGATATGTAGAAGAAGTATGACAGCTGACTGCAAAGCTTTTTTTACAGCAGCTATCCCAGATACGCCACATGAAAACGTGTCTTCAAAGACAAAAGGAGTTTTGACATTCGCTTCAGTCAAGCTAGAACATTTTCTTCTAAACCCATAACCACTTTGTCTTTCTTACACAGCAGCCTTTTAACAATACATAACTCTACCAATCCCCAGAAATGCTGTAACACTATGGCTACTTAGCACTGTCTTTCCTTTGCCCATGAAGTCCACAGCAGAAGACTCTGATAGATAGTATTAGTAAAAAAAAAAAAAAATCACTTCAAAGGCAATGTGTGCAATATTCTTACTGATGTCATCTTAAAGTTGGCAAATGCAAGTAACCAGACATAACTGGGGGGTAGGGAGTTAAGAATAACATTAACAAAGAAAAACTTACTCATGTTCTGTAACGCAGAAATAATTTGTTTAAAAATTTTGGCTACATGTATCTTCAGTCAAGGTCTACTCCCCTTCCTCAGCTCCACAAAGAAACTCTAAAGAGCAAATCCATTCCTACAGGAATTTAAAGCAGAATTTTTTTTTTTTTTTTAAATTTAAAAACTATGTCATTTGAGGCAGGTATTTACCACAAGAAAATATTTTACGACACACTACCTCAGACTCTCTACTGATGCATTTGCTTCATTTAGAATAGAATAGCACAGTGAATACTAAGAAATACTATCCTTTGGCAATAGGTACAAAATACGGAACTTGAGATTTCCCAGTACAGAGTAACAGTAACAGAAAAAACCACAAAAATATTCATAATAATAAAAAACCCCAAGTTGCTCCAGGAATTTATTAGTAAAATCACAGTGTAGTGGAAAAAAAGTCAGAAAGGATCCCAGGGCTTTTCTGCTAGGACCCCTCCTAGAGGAAAAAGAAAAGCATGGCAAACTGACAGTAGATAGATAAATAACCATTTAGCATTGCTCCCTGTGACTTTCCTTACCTACATTTCTCAAACACTGCACGGTGACAGCAAATCCTTTCGTTCGTGGCAGTAGGTGATACTTGAGCTTGGGCAGACCTTTGGCTTCGGCTACCTGCATGCTAATCTGGTGCTTCTGTTCTGTGAACCTTGTGCCCTCGCAATGAATCAGGAACTAAAACCAAGAGAGAACTCCAGTTAGACAGAAGCTCAGGTCTTCTACACCTGACTGAGCAGAGGTGTCTTTAATTCCCACCAGCACAGCCCAAGTTAAAACTGCTAGCAGGAACAGCTGTAGCCACACACACATTTAGGTAATTTATTTGACAGAAGTAAAAAATTCAAAACAAACACACAAACAAACAACAAAAAAGTCAAAACCAAACACTCATCCAACTTGCCATCCTCTGTTTGAACTTCAGCCTTTAGGTTTAAACATCTGCTCTGCTACTTGCTATCAGAATTACTTGATTTCTCTAAATGAGTCACTCAGTCTCTACACTCAAAATATACTCCTGTTGCAAATGTTTCACTGCTGGTGAAGTGTTCAGGTGTCATGGTATCTAAATCTTGATAAGTGTCTAAACTGAAGACATTTCTAGGAAATGCTTCAGTGCCCAGCTTACACCCCCTGACTCCAACCCCCTGTCTTTCACTTATGGCAGGAGGACATTGACAATTACACACAGCAACTTTGATGCCAGGGACAGAGCTGGCAATAGATGTAAGGCAGCAGATGCAGGACAACTGAAAGCCCCATGCCCTTAAGAACTATAGAGTGGAAGTGCTCAGACATGAACAATTACAATCTTGCCACTGGCAGGCAGGGGAGAGCACACAGATCTTTGGAGATTTACCACTTGCTTATCTGCTTTCTGCCAAGCCTGAATGCAAACTAACACATCAGAGAGCATTGCCAAATCACACAAGCTAAGTCCTCATAACCCATAGCAAAAACAAAGCCAACAAAGACAGAGATTAAAGAAAACTAGCCAAGCACACAGCTTCAGCTCTAGCTCATCCAAGAGCACTTCTTCTCATGTATCACAAGCATAATGTTAAACAGCTAGACAAAACATACAGAAACTGATGAGAAAATCTTTCTAGTTCACTTCCCATACTTTGCCTGTATATCTTCCAAGGTGCTATTGATGTGCCTTTTGACACGTCATCATACAAAGGCAAATTAAAATTCCACACGCAATAACCCCAGGTGTACATCAGCAACTATCTCCTGTATGTAGGTATAGCTCCTTCTTAGTAATCTCTCTATAGCAGTATCTACAGGATAGTGGTGGCCTGTGCTCACTGATTAGAGTTGAACTGTCTAGGTGCATAGAAAGGCATTCAACACCTTTTAAAAGTCACACAGAACAGGCAAATCTCGGGGAGAGAAATTGAAACTAAATCCAAGAATGGCCCCTCTACTACACTTCTTCCTGGAAGACATTTAAATATTATCAAAGCACAGTTTAGCACTTGTTTAAATCAATGACAATTAAAAAAAAAAAGGTTTGTTTCAGAGAACGAGACATCTAGCACATACATCTTAATGAAGAAACCGCCTCCTAAGCAACAGGTTCTGTAGGCTCTTGTGAGGCTGCTTAATATAACATTTCTTAAACTGAATTGTTCTCTTGCCATCACTAGCTCATGAGAACTATGATTTTTCTGATTACTAAGAGAAAAAATTCAAAGACTTTTCATTCTCAAAGTAGGAAACACCAAGCAGGGTCAATATTAAAAAATTATAGTAATGCAAAAAGCAACACTTTCCTGTTACTGAAAAGTGACACCAATCCTCTCCCTGTAACACAGCCCATTGCCCCAGTGGGCCATGTCTCTGACCAGATACTTATCTGTGGTTTCCACTTCTACTGGGCCATGTCTGACCAAGCACGTTCACAGGAAAGGCAAAATCACACAGAAGGGGAAAACACTAGTAGGAACTCTGCAATCTAAGGCAAGAGGGAATCTTAGGTAAAGAATATGGCTGATGTGTTTCAAAACAACATCATCGCATGCATCTGTTACACTGCCATGAACTCTGACATCTACCCCTATCCAGGCTCCTGTATTTAGAGGACCACAAGATTTACTGAATGAATCACAGTGCAGGTATTTTTGCAGTGACATCTATAGGGCTCCATAGTACAGAGGAAGAAAACAGGCAAGACAGACTATTACATGGGAAATTCCAGAGAAAATTCAATTCTTCGAGAATACTCTCCTAATACTGCCAGGAAGTTAATGAACCAAAGTTCCCAGAAGCAACCTGGTGAATATCACATATCATCTGTGCCCTTCAATCCTGCCAAGCACTACAGCACCTCACACCCCACTCGTTAGTCATCACTCACCCAAAAGTTTTCAGGGTAGTCCCGGAGACTCAGCAACTTCTGTATGACTGTTTTCCGATCTTCCTCCCACTTGCGCTTGCAGAAGACTATCTCTAGGAAATACCACATCCACCCAATGATAGGCATGTAGGAGAGCTCCTTCTTCGCAAGCACTTTGGAACTCTGCAAGACAGAATTAAAGCAAGTAGAACAGAGTTAAACCACTTAAAAGTTCACTGTGGGTCTGATACATGCACAGTTAGACACTCAGATATTGGTTCCTATTGACCAGTTCAAGTTTTAACACCAGTGTAAAAACAAAAACAAAGAAAAATAACTTTTTCTCATATGACAGAATAGTCAAATGTAGTATCAGGTATCTGCATGGAAGACTTCCAGAATTAAACATATACGTGGATGTGTTTGTCTATCCTACCCAAATGCTGAAACAAAACAGAAGCCAAATTCCTTCAAACACTGAGATCTACGCAAAAGACCCAAATCATATCAACAGAAATTCTTAATTCAAGCAGACTCTGGATAGTGGTAACTCAAGCAGAGTCACAGAGCCATTGCTGTACAACGTACTGATGCTTGCACACATGGTTTACTAATGGAAGAATAAGAATACTTGATTTGTGTTCAGGTTTGTTCATGAAAGGGCAGAAATACATACAGTAGTGAATTTCTCTTCAAAGCATGCTTCTGGAGTAGGAAAAAAAAAAAAAAGGCACTTCTTCTGTCTCACAGGTGTGACAGACACTGAAGTGATTGGTCCAGACACTCCACAAGAAGTCTATGATTTATCAAGCATTCAACGAGTTCAGAAAGTCAAATCTTCCTCCACAATTTAACTCTGTTATAATCTCAGACTGACATCCCTTTAGGCAGGAAAACTGATTCCACTTGCTCCTTTCCTGTTTTCCAAGCCAGCTAGCCTTGGTGAGCTGTCCCATGTTTCACTTGGTTATTTAATTAATAAAATGGCACACACGTGTGCTGTGTGTATAAAGAAATTGTTGCTTCAGGACCTCCTGAAAAACAGTGACATTTCCCTACAGGACAAATGGAGTAATTACAGCCCAGTTTCTAACCACGACATCATTATAAGCTAGCCCATCAAAATGCTCTGCAGATGGGATTCCAGGACATGGCATTTGACTAGAAGACATTACTTCTTGGTAGAAGTTACCATCAAGAGAAAATATTTACTTTTCTTTCTTTTTGGTGACTGTTGTTCGTTTGGTTGCTAGGGGAAGAGACCTGACCTAATTCTTTATCTCAGCTCATTTCTTTCATCTGCTCTCCTTCCTTCAGAAGGAAAATACCTTAAATAATTAAGCTATCTAAAAGCTCGTAAGACTGGAAAGCAAGTGCACACCACATAGCTTCACAAGCAACTGTTACATAGAAGCAGAATAGAAAACTGCAGACAATTCCACTTCTAAGCATGCAGGAACCATTTCTGTCAAATGATTTAATGCTCTGCAATGAAGAGCATTTGAGCATTTGTTCCTCTTGAGCATTTGAGACTTTCTGTATTTCAGTGATGGGCTCAGATGAGGGCTCCAAACCCAGCTCTCCCACGAGAAGCAGTTGTAGTATTCAGCACAGTTTTAGTCATTTCAATTTCAAGCCATGTTTTACCTTAGTCCGTACTACAGGGCAGCAGCAACACCGAGCCCAGCCTTCTCTTCCAGCTCCCCAAACTGGGCACAGAGAAACAGGCTACTACAACACTCCTTAGCTCTGTTTTTTTCCTACACTATTGTTTTTCCTTTTCTCAGTTACTCTTAATACAAGTCATTTTCTTATTTCCAAAATAAATGAAAATAGTTCTAGCACACAACTTTAAATGCCTCCAGACAGTGTTTTTGTTGTAGGTCATGTACCGTATAGCTTCCATTCATAAGAACAAAGACCAATTCACATGCTCTTCTGCTTCTCTCCACCGTAAATGTCTGAGGAAGACAGCCAAGACAAGGTTTTGCTCAAGAAATCCCAAGAGATGTGAAGTGTTTCTGGCAGAGCAGGGAGGACCAAAACCTTTGGGAACTACTGTCCACCTCAGCCACAGCCCAGCACAAGCCACTACACATTAAGGCCAACAGCGAGAAAAAACCCCAATATGCTCTTCAAGTTTATGTACAGTAAGTATTCAGTATCATAAGGAATATCATAAACTAACCTAAGTGTGCTCTATATAGAATGTGCAAGGCCTCCAGAGCACAGTCAGAAAAGAATCCAGTAGTCCTCCCTCCCAGACTTTAAAATGCAGGAATTGTAGTCCAAAAAGCTAAGTATTTCACCGTACCTATTTTCTAATGTTTTGCATATTTTAAGAAGTGTACAAGTTACACAGGAGGCACACAGGAGAAGTTGCTACTGCTTTTTTTTTTTTTTCCCCTTCCCCAGTGGAACCAAGAAACGATACTGTAAGCTAAGGTGTTACGTGGCAGAGGTATAACCACAAAAGCAGAACAGATATCTGAATTCTTCTCCAGGCTATGTTCTTACTCATTTACTGTGCCAATGCATTTTTAAAATTTAAAAGTGCTCTTCTAAACACATGTGAGTATGACTCCTTAGATACACATAAAAAGAACCTAAGTCACCTCACACTGTTTTGTGCACCCATCTGTCCTAGGAGCAGAAAGAAGACTAATGACAAAACTAATTAGTAAAAGGAAATTCCTCAGTGCATTATACTGGCAAAACTGCTCTCGAATGGGAGGAATACATGAGGCCTCCCCTCAGGAGTTACCATCTCTTTTACAATAACTAGAGCTACAGTCTGTTCTGTTTCAGACATCTACCTGTGCACAGCTCCTGTGTAAATACCTGAGGGAAAAAATGCAACTCTGGTTGACTTCAACCACTAACCTGTTCTTTACCATTTGGTAAAACATGCAAGTTACCTCTAACCTTCAAATTCAGCTTGTTCAACAGAATAAAATGCATTAAAAAGTGCAGATTTATTCCATGTAAGCTGCCTTCTTGAAGGAAGTCAAGCATTTTCAGTACTCAGAACTGTGTAATTTAAACAGATATGTAATGAAATTACTGCTGGACAGGGACAACTTATCTACAGTATTAAAATTTTAAACCAGGTTAATTTATTTTGGCCAAGTTCGTTCAGATGGAAATATGTATGAAGTTCCCCTTTGTGAATGACTGTAGCACCATGACAAAAAAGTATTTTTACAAGCTTATTTTAAAAGCATTTGCCCAGCTATGCTGTCAAAGAAAGAAAATCTTGATTCTGTATGCCCAGCCTCTGTTATTCAACACCTCTTGATCAAGAGCACAACAAACAGCAAGAAATAACTGTGCAAGCTGAGAGTGTCCAAAAAATTTGTTCCACAGTTTCAAAACAAGTTTACTGTAGCTGCAAACCATTAGCAGCAGCAATTTGCCTCATAAGTTCTTTGCTCTCCAGGTTGCCCTCAGCACTGACATACTTTTGATGATTCCCACTGCTCTATTTTTGAAATATAGCACTCCTTCATATTATACTCCTGGGGCATCAAGATGGAAAGATATGTTTCTTCAGTCCCTCCCTGGATACAGTACTGAGGTGCAGCCTCATCAGTGCTGAGTACAGGGTAACAATCACTTCCTGGTCCTGCTGGTGACACTATTTTCGATTCAAGCCAGGATGCCATCGGCCTTCTTGGCCACCTGGGCACACTGCTGGCTCATGTTCTGCCACTCGCAACCAGCACCCTTAAGTCCTTTTCTGCAGGGCAGCTTTTCCAGCCACTCTCCCCACTGCCTGTAGTGCTGCATGGGGTTGTTGTGACACAAGGGCAGAACTTGTCACGTGGTCTTACTGAATCTCATATACTTGGCCTCGGACCAGTGATCCAGCCTGTCCAGATCCCTCTGCAGAGCCTTTCTACCCTCCAGCAGATCACCATTCCCAGTCATCTTAGCACTGTCTGCAAACTGGCTGAGGGTTTACTCGATCCTCTCATCCAGATCTTTGATAAAGATACTAAGCAGGATTGGTACCAAAATTGAGCCCTGGGGAACACCACTAGTGATCTGCTGCCAGCTGGACTTAATACCATTCACCACCACTTGCTCAGCCCAGTCGTCCAGCCAATTTGTTACCCAGCAAAGACTGTACCTGTCCACACCACAAGCAGTTGCTCCAGCAGGGTCTCTTCCCTAGTTAACTCTTTCACCAGCTCCATTAGGAACTTGTCTTTCACATACTCCAGGAACCTCCTAGACTGCTTTCTCTCTGCTGTGTTGTATTTCCAGCAGACATCTGGTAAGTTGAAGTCTCCCAGAAGAACAAAGGCTACTGAATGTAAGACTTCTCCCAGCTGCTTATAAAACATTTCTTCTGCCTCTTCATCACAGGTTGGGTGGTCTGTAACAGACTCCCAACAGGATATCTGCCTTGCTGGCTTTCCTCTGCTCCTTACCCAGAAACACATGACCCTTTCATCACCACTGTCCAATTCTAGACAATCAAAACACTCCCTAACATACAGGGCTATCCTACCACCTCTCCTTCCTTGCCTATTCCTTCTGAAGACCTGATAGCCATCCACCACAGCATTCCAGTTGTGCGAGTCATCCCACCAGTGTTTCTGTGTCTGCAATGATGTCACAGCTTTCAAGTCGCACAATGGCTTCCAACTCCTTGTTTATTGCCCATGCCATGTGCATTGCTGTAGATGCACTTCAGTTGGGCTACTGATCCTGACACTTTTTCTGGGGGAGAATTCCAATCTGACCATTCTCGGGCACTTCCATGGTTTCTTACATATCAACAAACTTTGGCTTTTGCTGCTGTATGGATCTCCACGCTCTACTCCCATGGACCTATGCGACCAAAGAACCTCATGAGCACACCACCTCTCAAACACCAGCATGCGACTCTCAGCCTCATCTCTACCAAGCCTGATTTTGTCCCCTTCCCCCTTCATATCTAGTTTAAAATCTATTAATATTTTAAAATGCACAAACTACTGTGCTCACGCACCTATCAGTCCCATACAGAAACCTACAAAAGTCTCTCCTCACACCTATATTTAAGGCCATGATCAGTTTTTCCAACAGCACGATTCAAAATAAACAACTCAAATAAAATTTGCATTTCCTGACATAAGGAACAGATAGTTAAGGTTAAAATTTATTATATGTGCTTAGTGATTTTTTATGAGAAATATGGCCTCTTTTGGACACTGCAAATATTTTGATGCAACATGAGCCACTCAGAATAATGTTTATGTTTTGCTGAGTCAGAAACAGTAACATTAACAACTTGAAACACCAGAGACACCACAAGATAAACAGATAAACGAGCATGTTTAGCCTTAAAGCACAGGCAGTTTTTGCCAATATTAATGTCTTCATCTCAGAAAAAGGGTTATTAAATTACTAGAAAAGCTATTTTATCGCTGCTTAATCAGATCAAACAGTGAAGCAGTCAATCCAGGCAGGGAGCATATTAAAGTGCTTTTGGTAAAAATCCTGAATAACACCTCCCTCCTCAGAATATGCCTCTGTCCTGAGTTTTGTTTCTGATGTACAGTGGGTCAGTTTTCAGTGGGATAGTTAGGACCACACCTGGAAGAAACTAAATGCTACTAACGTGTTTAAATAATGGTACAGTAAGCTAGGTTGTCCACCACTGAGATAAATCTGAGGACTGTAATGTCACAGGCAGGAAATGGGAAGGGCACAGCAGAGACCTGTCACCAAGTCCATGCTTCTGTTTACACAACAGAGTAAAACACAGACACAAGAGTTAGCATCCCCCCCAGCCATCACACCAGCATGGGGTGGAAAAGCAGAGCATCCACAACAGAGCCATCACAGTCACCTTGGCTCAGGATCACAGTAACAGCCCTATCTCTTATTAGAAAACACTGGTGTGGACAAAGCTGTGTCCTGCTGGGCTATGCTGTTTCCAACTCTACAGAAAGCCAAGTTGGCAGCCCAGCTCCTCCTTCCCTCACAGCTCGTTGCAGCCACCTCTGTGTCACATGGAGGCAGGATTCAGCCATCCCTGGACATCTATGGTGCCCATGGCAGCATCTTGCTGACTTGGCATCAAAGCCCCCTATATACCCCTCCTCCTGGACACAACACTGAGCTCTGGCAGCACAAAGAGGTGGAAATGTGGCTGAAGAGTGCCAAGGAATGAAAACAAAACCCAAAGAACCCTTCACAAAAAAACCCACAACTAGAATACAGATGTGATTGATTGATTGAGCCCAATGCAGGTTTTCCTGAAACCCCTGTTGCTTCTAGTTTTCATGAAGTTTGCTTCCTTCTTCAATTTTCTAACAATGAAAAAAATCATGTAAGGTTTGATACTGCCCAGTTACACATGCATAAACCAACAAGATAATAACTTGGAAGAGTAAATGCAAGCATAAAACTGCTTCTTCATGTGGTTTTCTCCTTCTCCACTACAAGTGAACAGGTCTCTGGCTCCCACTCCCACTGTCAACCTAGCGCCTCCTAGAATTTTCCATGGGTGCTTCAAATGTATCATATTAAAGAAAAAAGAATAAGTAAAATAAATGTTAGAATTGTCATTCTTTCTGCTTCCTCATCTCCATGCACACTTCTCAAATTCTTAGCACCTTATTTGGTTCTTTTTGCTAAATCTTCTTCCAGAGACAATAAAAAAAACCTTCACAAAAGCAGAGAACCTCATGCCATACAAGATCTGAGTCCTAATAAGAACACTCAGGTTCACAAACCTAAAAACAACAGGCAAGAGACTATGCTACTCCTACTCCACACACCAAAACCAGCAAAAAAATCCCCTAAACCAACATTGACAAAAACAAAGCCACACTGAGAGAGCTTTATAAACCTGTTGAGATTAAGGCAATTTGGCTGTAAGGAGAAAGCCAGTACCAGAGAAGAGACACAATGGATGGAGCAGAAAAATGCACAGACTGAATGTTGCAACTAAGACCAGGAGGGGCAGTTTTAATATCATAATTAAAACCTAAAAGGGAAAGGGACTTTTTTTTCTTTTGGGGACAGAAGGTGCAAGAGATGTTTAAGGATGCTTAATACTGTTTTCAGATAAACAAAAACAACATCCTCGTTTTGGCTGGAATAGAGTTAATTTTCTTTCCAGTAGCTGTGTTTTGGATTTAGAATGAGAATAATGTTGGTTACTGGATGTTTTAGTTGTTGCTAAGCAGTGTTTACACTACATCAAGGACTCTTCAGCTTCTCACACCACTCTGTCAGGGAGTGGGTTGGGGAACAAAAGAAGCTGTGAAGAGATGTAGGCAGGACAGTTGATCCATACTAGTCAAAGGAATATTTCATACCATATAATGTCATGCTCAGTATATAAACTAGGGAGAAAGTTGGCTGGGGGCTGCTGCTTGACAGCTGGAGGGTGGTGAACAACTCCATTGTGCATCATTTGTTTTGAATATTCTCCTTTACTATCGTCATTATTTTTGTCCCTTCCTTTCCTGTCCAATTAAACTCTATCTCAACCCACAGATTTTATCCCCCAGTTCTGTCCCCCATCCCACAGGGAGCAGGGAGTGAGCAAGTGACTGTGGTGTTTAGCTGCCTGGATGGTTAAGCCACAAGAACTAAGCAAAGATTTACAACATTTAATGGTTTCATTTAATAGAAGTTCAGGCTGTAAATTGCTGAAAGTTTGAACACATGCATGTGACACTGTTAAGAGCACTGCCATTATCTGTCAGGGCTGCAGGGCACAGATGGATGTCACAACAAAGCCATTCTGTCTGTCTGCCTGCTGCAGCCAAGCACAACTAGTTCCAACTCCTTCAGCTCTAAGCTGTCTTCATCATCTCCCTCTCCCCCCTCCCCAGGCATCTCTCCTTTCTTCACTGGATTAGTTAAGGCAGAAAAGAGAGACAAAGAGTATCTGAAACATGCCAAAACAGAACAGAGAAGCACCAGAAGAGATTCAGGAGATAGCATGTGCAAGATTTCCTTTTCAGCAGCATGAGATTAGCTGAGTAAGGTTGGTAAATACCTAAACTTTGAAGAGAAACTTTAATAGAGTCTACAATTATACATCATTAATTATAAATCCCCATTGGCTCACAAAGTTGCTGAGCCACCAAGCACTGGAGGCTGGAACACCTTAGACATCTCACTGGACACTTGCCTTTTTCCTCTAACTCCTTTTCCTAAACATCGGCCCTCAACATCATGGTTCCTAATTGTGGTGCCACACCATGCTCTGAAGCTTCACAGCTTCACTGGAATCTGATGTAAGACAGTACAAAGTCAAACCAACCTACATTCCCCATCCCTGCATATTCATCTACCCCTGCACTGCCCTAAGCCAAGTATAACAATACAGACAATACAATGAGGAAAACTGACTGTGTAGCATTTTCCTTTTTTTTTTTTTCTTAACCTGGCTTAAGATGAACCTCAGCTGGTTGCCCCAACAGGGAAATTAACTGCTTTGTTGAGTAAAGACACATATGCAAATGAGAGCACATGGAAACTACTTCTTCCTGAAACGGTTTCTGGGAAGTAAAACCACAGTATATTACTCAAGACTGAAACAGATTTTTAAACCAAAAAAAAAGAAAAAAAATCAACATATATCACTTCCTTAGAGAAACCTAAGATTAGCACAAACACAGACCAAGTAATTACTAATAATTCTGGACAGTGGTGGGTGAAATTCAAGCACAGATCTGTTAGCATTCAAAAACACAAATAATTTGCTTTGGGTGTTTTTTCCACATCCAAGAAGAAATAATTTATTTTAAATGCTAAATAAACTCACCCCCAAGACCCCAAATCTCTCACAAAAGTTCCATCCACAGAGAAAGTCAATTTCAAAGTTGTGATTAAGGATTACAATGGCATTCTCCTTCCCATACTTGTGGTAACTCTCTGGATCAGTGTAGAGGGTGCAATCGGTGCCTGACCACCATTCCAGCAACATCACCATCTCTGAAACAAAAAACAAGAAATAAATGAATGTACATAGTATATACAAAGCCAAAAGTTAGTATCATGTTGAAAACATCAGTCACCTCAACAGCACATGGCAATGAAATGGCTGTAATGAAGAACATCTAATGAGGACTGTTTAAAACACAGCTACCTTTATAAACTGAAGAGTGGTTTCTCAGCAGTAACCTAGTTACAATCATATACATTTCATTTGGTTATCCCATTAGCAAGCACAGGCTTGTATTGTAGGCTTTGTATTTGTTTTGCTTGGAACTGTAAACCTAACCACAAGATTTATAAATCAAACCTTTATATTTAGAGAAATCTTTCTGGTCTGGGGCACAGGAAGTTGAAGTGAGTCAGTAAAGCCAAGAAGGTCAGAGCTCTATCTCCATGGAGATGGAAGAAGGAAAACTAAAAGCAATGGCTCTCTTCAAGCAACCCATGTCTTAAGCTGGGGGTACTATGAGGGTACCATGTGACTAAATAAGAACTGTCTGTCAAGACTGCAAAGGAGTTAAGTGACACATTTGTTTCCTCTCAAAGCTATCACAAAAGTTCTGAACCAAAGCAGAGGTCTAATGCGAGGGGTTATTCTTTGGTAAGTGGAACATGTCTCCTTTTCAGAGCAGAGCTGTGCCATGTGAATGCATCTGCTGGAAGAATGAGACATCCATGATGCTTTCCTGGCTCAAGACAAGCTGAAAGCACCACAAATCCTCATTCACTTCAGGAAAGATCAAAACCAGGTCAGTCTTGCAAACACTTCCCAATTCCTTTCAATTTAGGTCCCTTACTGGTAACCAAAACCAGAAAACAACAAGGAACAAGTCATCTACATTTTCAGTCATGAGGAGCAAAATTAACTGTCTGAAGCTCTTGGACAACATTAATGACATGAATGAGTTTTACCTAAGTGTTACAGCCAGACTAACAGAAAATCTTTATTCAAATAACATTACCTTAATACGATAAAAGCATGTTTATGGTACAGATTAATGACTCACTTGTCAGTCCATCTGTCTGTTTCTAACAGGGCAGGTAACTACTACCACAGCAGGAGTACAGATTACTCAATGCATGCTACTAGGCATCAAAACAATAGTCACAGACACAGGGGAGATCTAAACTGCCATATGCTAACTGAGCAATGGCAGATTTCACTGGCTGGAAACTAATTTCCCAATAAAGCCAAAGATGTTCACATCGCAGTGAGACGGCTTGGCTTGGGTTACACAAAGACTCTGATATCCACTTTCTTTCTCTTTTCTCAAAATAAGTCTACTAATTTAGACTCTGGGGAGGGCTTAACATAAGTGGTACTCTCCTAGAAGAAGAATGTATCCACCAGTGTGAAAAGACTGGAAAGCTGATGACTCAGAGGGCGTGCACACGTGCCACCTCATTTGTGCCCTTACACAAATGACTCATCTGTGATAACTCCCCTTGGGGAGACATCAGGACAATTCACTCAAATGGTCTGAAGATATTCACCTCTGCTGATGGCCATAATCGATCCACCTGTGTTTAGAAGGTGTCAAAGGTTCTTGAAATGCCCCATGATCTACCTACCCTCAGCCCAACAGAAGACCACAGGGACTTCACTGAGGAAGTCAAGGGTCTCCTTCCCTTGCTTCATGGGACTTCCACCACCCAGACCTCTACCACCACCTCAGGGGATCAGGACTACAACTACCATCAGAGTTGCAGTGACCAGATCTCATCGCTGGGTCTGGTGGGTGTCTTATGGGTCCTTCCAGTCACAGCCCTGCTCCAACTGCCTGTGCCAGCACTGCAGCCTCACTCCAGCACTGACCCTCCAAACTGTTCCTACCAGGTTTTAACAGATAGGGGGAGGCTGGCTGCAATCTCATTTTGCGGTGGGTGGTGGGAGGTGGTCCTGTGGGTGGAAGCTTGGGAATTTTTCTGGTTAGCTTAACCCAGTTTTATCAGCATTGTTTAGCATTCTTCTTGATAAAGAGTTATTTTTTCACTTACATCCAGGCATGTTAGGTCTCTCTCCGTATTGGAGAGAACCAGGGGTATTGAACTGGAGGAAGGAGGCTTCCATCTGAGGTCTCTGGCCCTCCAAATTGTCTCAAATCAAGACACAGCTATGAAGATACAGAAGTATATACCTTCCATATTTCCCCAGTTGTCTTATGAAACACACTTACAATTTTACATCTTTCCAAGAGCATAGCTTGCTATTGAATTTATACTGGAAATAAAAGCCCTCCACTCCTCCACTGTCTTGACAAAAAAGCCAACTTTATCTGAGAAAAGCCATCCTACTTCAAGTGTGGATTTTTTATTTATTTTGTCTCTTTCCAAGAAATTTGAACAAACCTAATAATATATCATAAATCTCACTATACAGGTGTGCCATATGCATAGAGTTCTTCAGTTACATATTTTCAGTCTCAACTATATTCCAAAAAAGCATAGGTAAAAATATTTCCAGATGTGGTTTGATTCTTCAGGCTTCACATAAGCAGGATTTTTGTTTGAATAAATACTGCAGAAATAGATCCCTACTCCTCACCTCATATGCCATTTATCACTGATGTGCTCAGGCAGTTGCTGCAGAAACACAAAGCAAGCATTGAACACCTCTGTATTTAAATACAACAAATACCATCTGCCGGTTTCTAAGCTATTAACATATTTATTCCCCTCATCTTCCTTACTCTTTCTTTCCCCTTCTTCCTAGCCTCTTTTCTCTTTGCGGATCTCAAGCAACAATTAGTAGTGTCAGTTTGTGCTACCAGTTACTTCCACAGACGTCTATTACTCAGTAACTTGCTGTGGTTGCTCAGCCACACAAGGTCACTCATACACAGTTTTCTTCCCTCCTTCACAGTACAGATGATCGGAGGAAGTTTCCTCCTCTTTGTACACCAGTCATACCATTACAAGTAGAAATCAACTTTATAGAGGGGGAAAGAGATTCTCTTGCTCCCACCCAGGACTGGTCTAAGACTTCTAAGACTCCCTTTGATGAGGCTTTAGAGTTTTAGCATCACAACTGAGCTGGTAAATTCATATTCAACTACATCATGAAGGTTCCTCTCTTTCAAAGTAATTCCTCCAGTGATACTTTCAAACATTTAATGCAAAGGAAGGAGAAAAAAATCAAAGGAACTTGAAATCTCTACTCCCTGCTTTGAAGGCAGAGTCCTTGCAGCACATTACAACTAGCTTAGAAGAAGCTGATGGCAGGGAGAAAACACCTAATATGGATATTCTATCTGATTAGGAATTTTGAGGTTTTCTACCTTTCTGAAATAAAAAAGGTTCTCATCCTGTTACACAAAAACAGCCTCTACCTCCTGTGAGAGTAGTTTCCTAGCCCTTCACTGCACAAATCTGAACTGCTTCAATGCTTGCACTTCTAGAAGAAATAACTAGAAAGAAAACATATCCAAGGCAGACATGAACTGTAAGCAGTTATAGGAACAGAAAAAAAAATAAAAATTAAGGGAAGTAGGGAAACACAGAGTTTATTGAGACTTATCTTCCACCTCAAAGTTTTCAAGAATGAGCCATTAAAACAGTTAATACTGTCCTTCTGTAGAAGTTGTTACTAATTCCTTTACCTAACTATTCTTGATAAGGACCAGATCACCTACTGTGGTCCCTTCCAACTAAAATCCAGCCCTCTCTTTCTTTAGTGCACCACCACCCATTCCCTACCCCAGCATTTACTATACCTGGTGGTATAATCACTGATATCTTTGGATTTCTTTTCCCCTCTCTTAAAGTTGTCTAGCAGCAAAAAGTAGGTGGTTGATGGCAGGGAGGGCGTATGGGGAATCATGCACATAAATTTCAAAAGAAAAACAAAGAAAACCCTTCTCTATTGGCTACAAGTCTGGTTTTGAAGATTTTTCCCTAAGTCCTCATGGAAGATCCTGTAAGCAATTTCCTTGAATAACACTTCCATTAACTACATGGTTGTGCTGTTGGGGACTGAAGTCACTAAAAATGAAGAAAGCAGAAACAATGACTTTTAATTCCCTATCCATCACAGCAAGTTACTGGGCATGCTTGCAAGGAAGAAGATAAGCACAATACAGCCCTTTCATATAGTCAGGTTCCAAGTCCCATTCATTTCGGCATTTGCTTGCAGGAAATTATTTTAATGTACTTTTCTTCAACAATCATATATTCCAACACAGGCAATATGCTGCTTTTGCCACAGATGACTGAGGACACTTTATCATGTGCTGATCAAAGGAGTTAATATCAACAAACAGCTGGCAAGTTCCTATGACACCAACATTTGCTTTGTATGGGTGTGAAATCAGGCAGTTGTATCTCTTCCAGACATGGTTTCTTGTTGTTCAGAACACAAAACAATGAAGCTTTTTCTACTGTGTGCAGGAAGAGCACCACAGAGGAACTGCTTAGCAAGAAAAAAAATTGGTTAAGTTCATTCACTGCAAATCACTGTGCAAAAGGAATACTAGTCTTGTTTCAATACTTTCTTTTAAGCTTTTTCCTACACACACACCCACCAAAAATCATTTTTAATTCATGCATCTTTGGTCTACTTGTAGATTTTATTACTTTTAAGCCTGTATATCTTTAAGAAATACTGTCCCTACCTAGCCACTTAGGTAAACCATTCAGTGTTATGAATGGTATATTATGATCATTAGGTTTATTATAAAGACCTCAACATTCACTTCTTCATGGGAATTAGTTACCAGCAGATGGGACATGACAGCCTAAAACAAAGCACAGAAGCTACCAACCAGCTCCAGCTAGCAATCTCCAAGAAGCTTTCGGGGAGAAGTTACTGATGGTCTTACATTAGGAAGTTAATTGAGAAGAAAACCCAACTAGTATCTGTCCTGAGCATACATGTGTGTTTTCCATATTGGTAGACGCATATCAGTAATTTCTGCTTCCTCTCAAGGAAACTGTACACTCTAATATACTAAAACCAGTCAGAAGATAGTTGGAAAGGATGATTATGAAGCTATTGCCTC